GCTGGGTAAACAGACTACTACTTGAGTTGAAAACTGTCTGAACCACTCAAAAGTTTCGTGATCAATGTCCTTGATGTTGGGTTGGCTGCTGGTAATCAGTGAACTACACCAGGGACTGACAGTGGGGCCGATATTGCTGAATCTCTCTGTCACTGGCCTGGATGGTGGGTGACACAGAGAGCATCATGAGCAAATTGCCAGGTGACACAAAAATAGAGAATTGCTGACACAATGAATGGCAGAGTCTCAATCCAGAAGGATCTCCATTGATTTAAGAAGTGGGATAACAGGCATCTTAGAAAATTAAATAAGGAAAAGTGCAAAGTTTTACACCTACGGAGGAGCAACACCATATATTGCAACTGACTGGCAGAGCAATGGCCCTGCTGAAAAGGAAGTTGCAGTGGGCTTACAGTGGACTCCAAGTTGAACACAAGCCTATGCTGTGCTCTCTCTATACATAAGGGAAACTGCAAACTGAGCTGTATTGGGAGGGACATGGCTACTGAAGAAAGGTTTTTACTCCCACCTACTGAGCTGTAGTGAGGTTTAACCTGGAAAACTGTGCTCAGTTTTAGGCCCCTCAGTTCAGGAGGGATGTGAAAAAATTTGGTTCAAGTGGCAGGCAACCAAGTGGTTAGCAGTCTATAGCTCTCCTGTGAAGAGAGGCTGAAGGACTCACCTAGTCTGGTAGAGGGGAGGTTAAGGAACAATATAATAGCTGCCCACAAATATCTGAAGAACTACAACGATGAAGAACTGGAATGCACCTCTCTTCAGCAACAAGAAAAATTCTGCTTAAGTATTAGAGAAATTTTTTCACCATAGAGACAGAACATTGGAACAGGTTGCCCAGGAAGGTTATGGAATCTCCATCCTCAGGGATATTCAAAACTTGAAAAAGACTAGACAAAGCCTCAAGCAACTTGATTTTAATTAGCCCTGCATAAAGCAGGGACTTGAACTTGATCACCTCCAGGGTCCTTTCCCATCTATAGTATTCTATATGAGCTTGCTCAGTATTAGATGACAGGGGATCCACATGGGCAAGTGATCACACAGATGTGCTGCTGTCAGAAAAACTGTGAATGGAGAACACAAGCAGGCACAAGGCAGAAATCTGTAGGAAACTAGGCTGAGATAATCTGATCAACAGGGAAGGGACAATTATCTAAAAAATAAACAAATGACTGGCTGAAGGAGTCAGTATTCTGAGTAACCATTTTTTATCATTTTTACTCAATGTGTGACCAATGTGTGTACAGTACACAAGATGAAGTGCAGAAAACCTTCAGCATTTTGATCTTTTACTTTGGTGTGTACTACAGTAATTCTATAGGGTCATGCCATCACTACAGTATTTTGTGTTCCCTAAAAAAAAACCAACAGTGCAATTAAAACTGGACAGGAATCTGGTTCAAGAATTTCAAATTATGATGTTTACCAGCATTGTTATTGCAGTTAAATTTTACAGCACTCATGTGATACCTGGCATCTGTCAGAGCCTAGTGTCAGCTGAAGTTTCTACGTACTGAACAGATGTGTCCATATTTCCAATAAAAGCTGATAGATATAAAGTTGAAACAACCTTTCCCTTGTGCCTGTCCAACAGGCTAGACAGAAAGCAACAGGCTGCAACCAAACCCTTCACCTCCTCATCTTCTTGGCTCAGAAAATGAGGTCATAGCACAGGGACACCAGACTCCACAAGGCTGCCAATTTGGCATAGAGAAAGGTAAGCAGAGCAATATGGGATGGTGTGTTACAAAATCTCACAATGTATTTTCATCACTGAATATCTCAAGACACTACTCGTCTTCAGGCTGTGAATCATTCTTTTGTAAGTCTCTTTGTTAACACCTAGTTTATTAAGCAATATTTTTCTATGCTCTGCTCCCAGCCTATCCAAGACTTCCCCTTCTTCTGTGACTACACTTGATCTTCCATGTTTCAAACTGCCATTTAGTATTTCCCATTCTGTTATTCCTTTTACCTTAGTTTTTCCTGCCTATTTCTGAACCTAGCTTAACAATTATATTTAATCCACTCTGCATCAAATACAAAAATTAAGAAATCACACAGGAAATATATTTTATTATATGGGTAAACTAAGATGACATTTACAATCTGCAATTACTTCTATGGTGCCTTCTTCTTACCTTCCTTATGTAGCTGATCTCTGACTATATTTTTTTAAAAGACTAACCATGACATCATATCCAAAGTGGAATACCATACACAAAGCAATATCACAAATTAGTAACAAGAGATAAATCCTTAGCGTCTTATTTACCAGGAAATGACTGAGGCAGGCATTTACAAAGTAATTATCACTGATTAAAAGTACACTTTTCCATTATTCTAGTAATAACACTCTACACCATGCAAACAGCTTCAAACAAATTTCTAAATACTGAGAAACATCCTAGGGGGATTATGTTTGGAAGCAAGCTTAATGGTATGTAAATCTTAGTCTGACACAGGCATCAATCTAAGTGAAAGACATTGACTTCCTTCAATTTTTATTAGTTTTGCAACAATGGTGATTAGTTCATTTCTGGAGGGAAAGAAGAGTTAAAAACTTCTGCTTCAGCACCCATGTTAACAATTTGGAACCTAAACTGTATCATCTTATATCATTTATGGTATTAGTGCTACCTTCAGCTCTTTTATCCACCTTCCTGCTTGCTACTTTTGCCCTGTTCCATAATAACATGTTGTTGCAGTGATCTTTCCAAATCTTCAAATCTTTCACTGACTTTTTCCAGATGTGAGCATAATTTAAATACTTGGAAATAACCATCAACAACAACTAGCACTCGTGTGTATGAACTCACATATGTATCTCTGACTATTCCTGAACACCAACATTTTCAAGCCTTTACATCTAAAATTGCAAGTCAATATCTAAGTTTTGTACATACACAAAAGCATGCATGCCGAATAATGATGTCTTTTCCAACCCACTCTGACCCTCAAGAGGCAGAATGTCTCATCAAACAATGTATTTTACCATAAAATATTAACATGGGTATCTAGTTGTAGATAGAAACATTCAAAATTTGGAAATTAGTTACTAGTCTGGCTTTAGAGCTTTATCAAGAAGAATTTGATTTAATGTGTACAACAGAAGTAGACTAAAATTTCAAAAAGGAACCCAGTCAGAATATTTGCAATACAAACCATGTACAGGTATGAGAAGTCTAATTTTCAGGACTACAAATATAATCTGATGCAGAATTTTGAACATGTAACAGAGAGCATGATGGTACCAGGAGAAGCAGTGCTGCAGTGTACAGTTATGTCTAATGGAAATTCATTCTGTCCTTTGAAAAGCTCCAACAAGTGTTCCCTCACACACTAGAAGTTTGTTTCCCTGATAGATGTCACAAAGATGGTATTTAATGATATTTGAATATTCCATTTCTAGCAACATGTCCATTACATATAAGCAACAAAACTGAGCACGCTTCATTCTCTCTCAGTTTGAGGGTCTTTTCTAAAGCCATTCAAACACTTCATAGCATAGCATAAACTATAATAAATTTTCTATAGCAGAGAGCAACAAAATGTAGGTTACAGAAAAGCACAGAACAAAATAACAAAATGCAAGGAAGCAAAAAGCCTACCTATTTTTCAAAGTTCATGGCTCTTTATCACACTGCATATACCTTAATATAATTTATACTGTATATAAGGTTCTTTATTGCTACTTTATAAGTACTTAGAAGATAAAGAACATTTCTATCTATAGGTTTAAGTGATATTTTGAAATAATTATAGGAAATATTTAACTGCTCTTTAACAGTATAATTAAAGAACAGTGAGAGATGAAATGGATATCATGACAAATCCACAATAGTCTTACCATGTGAGTGCTGGTTGTCATTAGCTGAGGATAGGAAGAGAAGCAAGTAGCAAAAAGAAAAAAAAAAGCACACAAATAAAATAGACCAAAATATCAATGGGTAAAATAAATAAAATGCAAAAGTTTTAAAAATTTGCATTCATGTGAGTGCAAAGCAAGTAGAGATAGATTATTTTAAGCTGCCATATGTTAAAAATAATAAAAATATTAAAAAGCTTGTTATATTTACACTCTTTTATGATCATTCATAACTAATCTACCAAGAATCTTTTGATATGTTAATCAGATATTCATCAGATGCACGTTAAGCACAAACCAGAAAGGCTACTATGTAAATTCTGAAGGCATAATTGGAATTTAAAATATATATTTCTCCTAAATTGTATCTAGTCCTATGCCTCTGTTTACTCATACACAGAATTCCTATTGCATAGTTCAGACTTTGCTAAACAGATAACCCATCTATCTCACCATAACTCATAAAACAGTTATCATCTGTGCTGGAAATCTTGAAGAAAACAATTAAACAACTAAAACTATGCTCATAGAACAATCGACATTAAAAAATTACCTTTGCTTGACTGATCAAATCCAACACTAACCTGTCCATTGCTGGTCACAATTGTGTTGTCAAACAAGAAATAGGCACCAAAGAAAAATACCATCGCATCAAACACTCCTAGGAATGTCCAATAAATAAATGCACGCCAGCGCAGCAAAGCATTCTTGGCAACATCTCTGTGTAAAAAGATGATATATGCATTCATTATAAACCATGTTCAAAAAGCCTAGACAAATGATGTCACTCATAGGTTTTTTTGAGGGAAAAACAATTAAGAGATTGCATGCAAAACCACTACATTTCCACATGACAACTGTCTACCACTTCACATCCAAATTTTTCTTGAATGTCTCCTCTTTATTTATTTTTTTTAATTTAATTTTTACTAAACCCTTAACTGCTACCTCTTATCCTGCTTATTTCAACTGTATGGTAAATTCCCCTGTGCTGCACCCATTTACTTTTCAATCTTTTTACAGAGGGTATCTGTTTTCTAGTATTTGCTATGCATGTGATGATCTACTGTAGATTTTAAAAGGAAACACTAGAGGTCTCTGGAGACTTTGCTTTATTTCCCATAAGGTACTTTTATACAGAAAATTTTAACAAAACAAAATAATAATTTTATGTGGAACAAGGATTTTGCAGTTGAGTTGAAGCTTCAGGTCAAATTGTATTTCTTGAGCGTTTTCCCACAAAAAATACAGGGCTTGGTCAACAATAGAACTGTTCACTAGCATGTATTTTCTTATTACAGAAAAATTTGAATATTACAGTTCTTTATTTAGTTCTTGCCCACAAAGTAAGTATGTATCAACTTGGCATAAAACATAAAACACAGAGTAAATCAGAACACAATTAAATGAAAACCCTGAATTACAGAAACACTTACTACCAACCCATACTTTCACCATATGCACTTTAAAGCCTGTCTGATGACCATATGAAGTAATCTCTCCCCGCAGATTACCAATAAACAGTACAAACCCAAATATACAGCACAAAACCATATGTAGCTAACAGCAGCCTCATCTGGCCCAGCACAAGTGCAGTATTGCCCAAAACAGCTTATTGATAGACTGTCAGATATCAAAAACAAAATGTTTTTGACCAAATATTCTCTGCTAGTTTTCAAAAATCAAAAAGATCTTCTGAATAATCATGTCTAAACTGAAAACATTTAAAATATAGAAAATATAAATTGGGGGGCTGGATTTCAACAGCAGTATCTTGTATCCCTCTTCAATTTCATAGGCAAAAACATGTAACTGCATTGATTAATCTTTGGGCATCTGATATTACCTCTCAAAGAATGTTTTCCTTTTAATTATCTCCCATTACCACTCTCTAAAACATACTGTTTTTGCAACTACAAGAATCAAAACTGGGCACTCTTCCTCTTTTAGATGGCCACATGCAGCTAGTTGGCAAGAATTGTATTTCAAGTGGCTAAGAATCTAAACCAGTCACAATTGCAGTGCCCAGAAGTGAGTCAACAATATGCAGAGGACAATGTTGACACCACACAGAATACATCCCATGATACAACACTCTACCACCCAGTCCTCTTTTCTTTCAGCATGAAACATGTATATAGAAGAAACAGTATGTTTTCTCTTTTAAAAATTCTTCTGTTCCCCATGGCTGGAGGAAATAGGGAGTATTAAATCATATTTTGATTTATAGAACAATAATTTATATTTTGCTCACTAATGTAGCAAACAAATGGTGTGGATTGCAGTATGTAAATATACATGTAAAAATACATGTGTGTCTATTGTAGTTTAAAGACTGTACATGTGGCCTTCAACCCCTCTGTTGCAGTATATCTGATGTTCTACTGCAAGCGTGTACAGAAATACTGAGGACTTTGGTTATAACATAGGTAGATAGGAGATATATTCCACAACTGAACAGTCCAAACCTTTGGGGTGTAATGTATTAATTTTACCTGTATAGGGAAGGCTCTCTCTTGAGTGTGTCTGCACTGACATGTTGTTCCATGAGACCGTACAAGAGGATAGGAAGGGAAGTGAAGCTGATATTGTACAGTGTTAGATACGCAGTATCATATAAAGTCTGTAGGTGGAAAATAATTAAATCAGCTAGTTTTAATTTTAAAACTAAATCCACTGCATGTCACCTTTTTTAAAAGGTGACTCATTTAAAATGAATGAGTCAACTTCAGAAAAAACAAACCTATACCTTGTCACAATGGAGGCAAACACCCCTGAACAGCTGCTAACTGATATAGGAGGCAACTCTGCACTTACACCTCATTCATTTGGAAGACAAAAGGTCAACTAAAAGATAGATGTAATAGTCTGGTCCACATATCAGCCCCTCCTATTATTTCAACTGTAAGACCAACTCCAAACTACCCAAACAGAACAACAGTGGATTCCTGTAGAGGCAGAAATTCCCCTCTGTCACATCCACCCCTCCTTTTGTCTCCACCAGGGCTATATAACATGGACACATGCAGGGAGGAAGCGGGAGTACTCCAGAGGACCTTCAGCTGTGGGTGATTGCAATGCACTGTACAAAGAAACATCCCACTATGTCTTTGGTTCTTCTTCCTCTGAACTACTTTTCCATGTACGTATCATCATTGCAACAAGCGCTCAAACTTACCACATCACTCCATCGAGCTGTTTATTTCCCAAAACCTATTTGGTGATCATTTAGGCTGTAAAAGTTGCTGCAAAACCCCCTTTTTGATTCAGAATTATATTTAGCACTTAAAAGAACAGGAAATATTACAACTAAATTTTTATCAACACATGCTTTCATATCTAAATCCTAATAATGCCTGATAAAAACCTCCAAAGTTTTCAGTGGTCATTTGCAATTAAAATTAAAACAAACTAAAAAAAATAATAATAATAAAGAAAAATTAGTTCTGTCATTTTTACTCCTCCTGGAGCTTTCGAGACATTCCACAAATTCAAAGCAACAGTACTATTGTACTATTTTCTCCTTATTAAATCCTCCTCTTGTCCAATTTAATCCTGAAAACTTAATCCTCTTTTTGTCTAAGTCCAGTCATTCATTCCTTTGGTTTTTGCTAGTTCATTCAGAAGAAAGAAGAGGTAGATTTTTCTGCACAAATTAGACAAGAGCAAAGGGGAAAACCAAATAAAAATTTAGAAAGGAGAACACTGGATCCTCTCTTGAATGATGGCACTTTTCTGGTGAGCAGCAGTTCACTTTTCCTGTCCTCCCATGTTTATTTTTCCTTTTCAACTAACTGAATCCTGCTATTTGTCTGAAGTTTGCAATTCATACCTGCACATCCCAGAAAATACTAGTTTATTCTTCCATTTTCATTCTGAATTCTTAAAATGAACAACTAGTTCAATTACTTATCTTTCAGCATTGCCATGTTTAATAAGCTTAAACCTAACACACATTTCACTTTGCACTGCCATTTCTAAATTTTGGTTTCCTGTGTTCTTTGACTTTGAAAATAACACAGCTTTTATAGTAAGTTACAGAAATCAATTTTATGAATTAACTGCAATTGCCACTGAAAACCCTATGAACCAAAAGTGATGTTCTTTTTTTTACAATGTGTAAACTAACCTAGGAATTTTCTCAGCTGGACAGGCACAGTGTTAAAGGATCCCTTTTTTAAAAAAAAGCCAAAGAGAAAATGTAGCAGTGAGGGGAAAAAGAACAACTAACCTGTTGTGAAAACCCACAGAAGAACTGATATAAAAACTGAGGAAAAATGAAGCAGACATTCTGAAAGAGAAAGTGACACACTCAAGTGAAATACAAGCACTAATTTATATGCTGTACAATGCTATAGCCATGTATATCATAATTTTATAACACTAGTAATAGTAAACATTGCAGGAACAGTAGAAAGAGCTGCATACATTAAACATCAACATTCTCATCTTCCAGTAGTACTATTAAGAAAAATACTTAAAATATTTTGAAAGCAAACTTATAAGGCTACAGTTTCAAAATTCAAAGGCAATGAATTTTACGATCCAGGAGCACAATTCAGATACGGCAAGGTAAATAAGGTACAGTCCACAAACTGTGATAAGGAAGCATTGATACTCTGGTTAGCATGTTCTGAGCAAAGTAATTTGAAGATGTTTCTAGATGTGAACCCAAAATTCATTCTCTCCTAACTATACATATAGTCAAACACTGAGACTTTGAATTATCTTCTAACAGTTCTTTTCTATAATATTGTACTGTTTATTGAAAGAACTTTGACTGGATCCCAACATTTAGCCATAACAAAACTGTCTAAACAGAGGGGTGCATGTTATTAACTCTCTCCACCTACACCATCCTAATGAATTTAGAAACTAATGTAAAGTAAGTTATGCTAAGTTCTCAAATACTATTTCCAACTTGGTTTAAAAGGCCACTGCAGAGAGAACCCAGAAGGTACTGAAAGTAAGTAGAATAGTCTGTGTTGGAATTTGTAAGAGAAAAAAAAATACAAGGCAAATTGTGCTTTTAAACATACCATAGATTACAGAATATATCTATATAAAAGCTATTTTGCTTCATGGTCTGGATAAAAAAAAAAAATCCCATTTCAGCTCTGCATCTGGCACTCAACAAAATGTCTTTACAGAATTGTTGCTTTTTTGTACCACTGACTGCATAAACTGTATATAGTTAGATATTACCATGTAAATTTTTGAGATTTATGTAATTAGAATAAACATTCTCCTACCTTATAAAAGAAGTATTGCACAAGTTCAGATATCCTAACATAATAAAAATGCCCATGAACAAGCAACATTTTTTTCAAATGTTTAAATTTAGGTATTGCATAGTCACTGTTTCTTGCTGCTTGACGACCTTCTTTGCCAATGATTCCTTAAAAAAAAAGTGATGAAGCTGTTTAATAAATGAATAACTATTTCAAAGATAAAAGTATTTGAAAAATTATATAATAATACTATGACACTGATCTAATAAGAGATCACCACTGTATCTCAAAATTCCTGGGGTAAATTCATGAAAAGTTGTCTATAAAATGTATAATCTGATTCTTTGAGACTGCCTGTTTTTAAAAATTAAATGTTTTTTGTCATTTCACTTGAATTAGTATTCTAAAAAGCACACTTACCTATACCAACATGTGCTTCTAGAATCATACTGACATCATTTGCTCCATCACCAATTGCTAATGTGATAGGATGCTCCTTTGATAACTTAATCAATTTTACAATCTGGAAAAAAATAGTGTTAAAACCTCTTCTCTGTAATGGTTTGCTTATTTTGCATGAGAGTACAATTACTTAAAAATGATCAACACAGTTATGTAAGAAACTCTGTGAAGGGACACAAAACCAGTATTACCCAACACAACTAATATGCATAAAGATCCCAGTAGTTTCTTAAATATTAAAAGTATTTGTTCTGAATATACAATAACAAATACTTCCAAACTATTTTGAGATGGACAGAAGGAAGGAAAAGCAGAAGAAAGGAAGATGTTGTTGAGATTGCTCAATGCTGTGTAAGTGCACTGATAAATTAAAAGGGTTCCAGAGACAGAGAGTACAATTTCAAAGAAATCCAGAAACTAAAGACTGAAAGATTCTGCTTTCTTAACCCTGCTGAAATTTTTTCTTACTATTTAACAAAAGATAATAGGAGTCTGCATATATCTAAACATTATTGATACAGAAACCGTCCAAAAAATTTTACTTCAAATCTCTCCATTATAAATGATCATCTCTGTAAATTGGGTACCAAGGCAGCTGCAACTAAAAACTTGTACAAACTTCCAGACAGTTAAAAGTCCTGGCCAAACACGTGTCCAAATGAGTAAGGGCTACATAGGCTCTACTTGAGAAATGAGAAAAAGACATAACAGTTTGAAAGGAAAAAAGAAGTGTATATTCCAATGTTTTTTTTCCTTTAAAAAGTTCTCCAGCTATATTGAGATGTTTCAGTAATGGAAGGATATGTTTTCAATTGATACAAACTGTATACAACAGTCAAGAAGTACTTAAAAATTATAATGCACACATTTTTCTCTCTGAATTCTTCTTTCTTGGCTTCCTACTTATGTTAAAAATAGAGAAGAAATAGCACTCTACAGTAATAAATAATGCAGGTTCTTGTAGTATCAACAGATAGTAGACTATTCAAAGCTTGTTAGGTTAAAAAGGAAGCAATTAGTTCAGTTCATTAAATATGTTCATTTATCAGCATGTACCAACCATAAAATTTGCACAGTATATACATAAACCAAATTCAGGTGCACAGCTGGGTGCCATTTTAGCATACCATTATCTAAATTGCTTGCCAGTAGAAATTCTCTCCTTTCCCTTTTTATTCCCCTCTCTTTTTCCAATTCAGAAGATATAAGTGAGTGGTAACATTTTAAGTTATCATAATAAGTCATACAGAGTATTAACTTTCAATATTTACATCTGAAATTACAATTATGAAATGAAATACAAACCTGTGCTTTTTGCAGAGGTGCCATTCGACAGCATAACACTGCACTGCAGTTCCTGCAAATTTCAAGAAAGAGCTCTCTGTAGTTACCAGAGCTCCCATCTTGTCTTGGTTTCATTATTAATGATAATGCTGCTCCATCAATAATTAAACCATAATCTTGCATATCAGTTGAAAGTCTGTTCAGGGATAAAACATAAACTAAGAGTCACTGTAAAATTCTCAGACATATTTTAAATTTGGCAAGGTTTTTTTGTGAAAATTAATTAAAAAATAATTAGTATGTAATAGTGCAAAATTAATATACTTCTAAAGGAAATCCCTTGTATAGGACTGATATTTATGACATTTTAAAATTCTAGATTATGTTGAAAATATTCAGTGCTTTACCAGTTCAAAGACAGAAACCTGATTCCTCAGTGACTTCACCACTGAGTATGAGTGTATAATTCATGACCTTTCAGTTTGGTTTGAAAAGGCTCCAAGAACTGCAGTGAGGTAAACTCAGCTGCAGGAAGGAAGTTAATTTTGTGGTACATTCCAAAATATAGAGAAAAGAAGTTAAAGGGAAAGGCTTTTGGCACCCTGAAATCTACGCTGATGAGGAAAATGGTATTTTTTACCCAGAGCCTACATTTAAGGAAGTAAACCATGCTTTGAAGGAAAAGCCTAAAAGAGACTTGGCCTGGAGAGATAAGGCCACTGTCCACATTTACAGTGTGTATACTTTGCATTTAGCGTGTATATATATGGATATGTATAATTACAGGTACACCTGTAATTATAATATTAAAAATAATAATTTTATATGTTATCTATAATATTACAATGTATTATTATATGTATTAATCTATTCCTTGTATACCCATAATAATTTGGGCATTGCTAGAAGTGTAACTGTGGTAACATGAAGCACAGTTTACTAACTTATTTTTTAAGCATTTCCATCTTCACTACTAGAACACAATCAATTTTTGACAAATAATATAAAGCATTGTAAACTATATTTAATAATAGTTCAGATATTTTCAGCACTTTTTTGCCACTGCTACAAATAAGGCAGTGCCATTAGTATACAATGATATCAACTAATACTGTATTATTATGAAGTTCGGGCAACGTACCGCGTGTTTGACATATTCTAGTGAAGGATTTTCAGCCTGAATTTGAACATCCAGGCAGAATCCTGCTATTACTCTCCTAGCACATTCTCCAACTCTGGAGCCAAAGATAAAAAGTTCTGATCAGTCTTCATGTGTAGAAAATTGGGATTGCACAAAAAGATAAAGAAACATCTGGCCTTCTAAGGCCTGTGGGACTTAAGCTAAATGTGGTACAGATGATATAGAGAAATATGATCTATTTAACTGAATATACAAATGTTCTTGATTAGACTAATAGAGTTTAAAGTATAGGGAAAGCTAGGAAAAATGCTCTGGCCCAGAGCGTTCTTTCAAGTTGTAAGGCTAAGAGTTATCAAAACTCTCTGCTAAAATACTATCACAAATGTTTGTTAGCTTATTGTTCCTTTACTACTAACTTATTACAAATACATAAAAAATGTACTTGGTAGCTGGTTCCATATCCAGAAGAAAAACAAATCAAATATGCACCATTATGTCTCAAAGACCAGTAAATTCTCTTAATATCTTAAGACAATAAAAATGTTTTAGAATTCAGGTCTTAGGTTTTTACAGTGGGGGAAAAAAGAGCAAGTCATGTAGCAGCTATGAAGCTTCAGATAAGTAGCCTAATTTACTAAATGTATGAGGCATAATTTACATTATACCTGTTTTTTTTTGCTTTTTAATGCCATTTTCTATCTGCCATGTTATTGTTCACTTCTGTATACATGATACCTATCCTTCTATGGATATCCAAAAAACACAGAAGTCAATGATTCCTTTATAATTTAGGGCACTCTCAGTATTTTTACGCACACCACAAGATTTGGTACTATGCTGTTGTCTGTCACCTGTCTGTAAATGTCCCTAAAAATAGGGCCATATACTGTTGTTCTCTGTGGCCTTGGTCTTATCAAGAAAGTCACCTTACATATTAACACTGATTACAGGAATATATACCATCTGCTTCCTTTTCAAAAGTTAGAAGCGAAATTTTGCTTTGCAATATTTTTTTCCAAGAATAAATATTTTTGCAGTGGAATAGATTACAATTACAATAGATTAAAAATAAATTACAATGTAATTTGTGATTTTTCTTTTAACAGTTAAAGCAGTACCAGAAATGAGAGAGAAAGAACCATGACTGAAAATTTGAACTTACATGGAACAAACTTATACTTAATTGCCATACAATAATTCACACTTTAACAACAGAAACTGAAACACAGAATGTTGCTCCTCTTAAGGTAACTGATCAATCATTTAACTGTTCATGAAATGCACAGATGCTCATTCCCTGGCTTGACAATTCAACTTTTCCTTACCCTGAGAAAGTATCCCTGGTTAAGCTGCCATTGTGTCTTAGGACAGTTTTGCTTAGGTCAAAAAGCACGTCATGTAAACTCTGTTCTTCAATTTTCTTTGTGGTTAGCTCAAGTATTTGTGTGTTTCTCCGAAAGAGTTTGCAAGCATAGCAAGTAGCTGCAGCAGTCTCCATTTTGTCTCCTGTCAGAACCCAAACTTTAATTCCAGCTTTCTGGAGTGCTTCAATAGTATCAGCAGCTTTTTCTTGTAGCCTGTGGAAGTCAAATGACAACATACATTGATAGATTGCTTGGAAATGAGAAATTCAGAGGTCCTTATTGAAACAAAATAAAAAATTTCAATAGAAGTTATCAGATCTAAGAATTTTCCCCAAGGTGTGACTCTAAAAATATTTAGGAAAGTAGTACATGATAAATAATTATTTTGATGCTTTCGAAGTGCTCAAAGTTTCGCTTTTCATTTATATAGCTTAAAAGGCAAAATGCTTCATTCTGCAGACAACTACTTCAATTAAAATATTTTCAGTGCTTTCAGGTAATGACATCAAACAGTGAAGTACTGCTGAGTTAAAACTCCCAGTTTTAATAGTTTTTGAATTTTTTAAGACCTAAAGTTTCTTACTTTATTTCCTCAATACCCAGTTTGTAGTTTGTTCCTCCAAAACTTTTCCCTACGATTTGTTCAATAAGGTATGTCCTGGTTTTTGCTAAGATACAGCTAATTTTCTTCTCGCAGCCACTCGAAGCTCACCCCCTCCTTCCCCACCCCACTCAGGGAATCGGGGAGAGGAGCTGCGAGTGGCTGTGTCTTGTCTGGCTGCC